CTTGAGCCTACTTCCTCAGATGCGTGGTATCTGTGAGCCGCCTTGGGTCCCTTTCTGGGACAAAGTCAGGTACCTGGTCCTAAAGCGTTTGCAGCTTCAAAGATCCCACTCAGCACTTTGAATCGGGCGCTCATCGGCTCCAGCCCATCTCACCTGCTTCTCCCATCGCTTTGTCTCCCGTTGTCTCAGCAGGAAATCTTCCGCCAGTGCCACGACCTGGGCACAAATCTCTGGACTATGCTCCTTGACCCAATTCTCCATTGCTCTGGAAAAGACTCTCCGCTATTGTTTCCAGTAGAAAAGCTTATGAAGCAGAGAAAGGAGTGGAAGGGAAACAAAAGAACAGTGATCATTGTGACATTTTTTTTCCTACCAATCTTCTTCAACTGAGTTTTGGTGGAATAACATCCAAAATCCACAAAACCTTGAAAAAGTCCAAAAGAGTGATACCTTTATGAGACCACTCAAAATGCACAAAATACAAACAGCAAGCTTTCAAAGTTCCACTGGCTTCTTCTTCATCAGGCACGAAGGTTATGTGGACTTTGTTATGTGTTATGTTTTATCATTGTTACGTGGATTTTGGATGTTATTGTACTTTGCTGCATGGCCAACATGGCTACACCTGGATATGAATTCTGATGGGGAATATATCATTGTCTTCCTTTCCATACTCCTGCTCATGCGCAAACTCGTCGCAGCCGCCATTTTGGAAATAAAAATGGCGGGCACGGCGCACGCGGCCGCATGGACGGCAAAACGCGCGGCGGCGGTGGCAGGAGTCTGCCTGGGCCGGTAAGTCCGGCGACCTTGGCCGGAACCGGCCTGGGGGCTGTAGGTTGCCGGTCCCTGGTTTAGTCTTTTCTGCCAAAAAGTGCTGGTGCCTTACAAAACCACAAATCCCAGAATTTTGTATAATGTAGCCATTGCAGTTAAAGTGGTGTCAAACTGCCTTATTGCTACAGTGTAGATGCACCCTATGATTCCAGTTTAATTACGAAAGATGCATGTGACAGAGTCCTGGGATTTGCAGTTTGGAGAGGCACTGGTGCTCTCTGGTGCCCCTCTAGAAAACTCCAAATCCCAGGATCTCACAGAATGCTGCCAGGGTAGTGATAGTGGAATCCTAGTTCTGTAACGGTGTAATGGGGATGGGTCTCTAAGCACAACTGTATTTGCTGTCATCTTTTTCTCTAAAAAGAAAAAAAGAGAGAGAGAGATGGATGCAAACAAGGCTTCCATTTTTAGAAAGGATCTTGACAATCCAGAAATAAGGATACATAGTCAGGGGTAGCTGTATTGACCATAAAGCAATGTATAATAGCATCCCAAATCCACAAAACAGTGATACCTTTATTTGGCCAACCAAAATGCACACATCTGGGATCTCAGAAGAACTACCTTTTTGCATTGCTAATGGAATTAAAATTTTAATACCTGGATTTGGGAATGCTTTGTTCCCAGTGCCACATAACCAGGAGGAAGAATGAAAGCATAGGTATCTTTCCAAAGAACAACACGCCAACAGCACCTGGAGAAAATGCAAACCAGGGACTAACATTGTCTTTATATATTTTTTCCCCCTTCTGTATGATTCTTAACACCTTTGCCTGATGAAGAAGCCGGCGGAGATTCGAAAGCTTGCATAAAGTATTTTGTGCATTTTGGCATCCTGGATTCCTTATCCACAGATTCAACCATCCATGGTTTTAAAATATTTTAAAAAATCTATGGAAGTTCCAAACCGCAAACCCTGATTTTGTCGTGTTATATAAGGGGCACCATTTCTATGCCATTATATTGAATGGGATTTGAGCATCCATGGATTTTGGTATCCGCAGTGGGAGCCCAGGAACCAAAACCGAGTGGCTACTAAGGGTCCATTGTATCACTGTTTTGTGGATTTTAGATGTTATGGTACTTCACAAACAAGGATGATGCTGATGCAAAAAAATAAAGCAAAATAAAATATCCAGTCTTGACATTTGGATTGTATTCTCCTCCAAAGTGAGGATCTACATTTTATTTTGCACTTAGAGAAGGATTCAGAAGCCTAGAGACCCTTTGGGGGTCTTATTTGCCTGAGACTGGGTGGGTTTGGTCTGTTTGGGTCTCATTATAGTAAATAAATAAAGCAAATAATAAATAGATAATAGATAAATACATTTCTCCCCAACCCTTGCTTGCAAAGCTTTTCCTTCATTGCAACCACCACCCCTTTCCTCCAGAAAATTCACCTTTTTCTGCAGCAGCTGCAAGCCTCTGCAATGCAGTCTCCTTTTTGCAGGCGTCTCTTTCCCATCTATATTCAGGCTATAATTTAATTTAATTTAATTTAATTTAATTTTGGAATGATATAAAAACAGCCAGATTCCCCTATCAGGTCCAGGAAAGAGGCTTTGACAATCCTCAGCTTCCTTCTCCAATTTCAGGCCTCTCTGTGAAAACTCAGCTCTCTTGGTTTAACCCTTGGGATATCTTCTCTGCCAAAAGAGGGGATTAAAGTGCTTCAGACCTATAATATATGGTTATATATTATATAGTATATAATATATAGATGGTGGTGTGGGGATCCTTCTTTGAGTTGCCGTTCAGCTGCATCCGCACTGCAGAATTAATGCAGTTCGACACCGCTTTAACTACCATGGCTCCATGCTACGAAATCCCGGCATTTGTAGTTTGGCGCGGGATTTCACTTTTACTATTGGAGAGCTCTGGGGCCACAACAAACTACAAATCCCTGAATTCCATAAGATGGAGCTGTGATAGTTAGAAGTAGTGTCAAACTGCATTAATTCTGCAGTGCAGATGCAGCCTGATGTGGTTTTAGTATGTCTGCAGGTGGAAGATAAACAGGTGCAGCTTCCACCATTTCTCTTTGCCTAGAAAGCTGCACCCACTGAATTGCATATCTTCTGTTATTTGTTATTTTTTAAATACAATGGGCCCTTGGTATCCACTGCAGTATAGTTCCAGTATCCCCATGGATTCCAAAATCCGTGGATGCTCAAATCCCATTAAATACAATGGCAGAATAAAAGGGTGTCTTATATACCGTAAAATGGCAAAAATCAAGAATTGCTTGTTGGAATTTATATAATATAAATTTTATATTTTCAGGCCACAGATGCCCGAATCCCTAGATAAAGAAATATGGATATGGAGGGCCTTCTGTACAGAGACGGAATCCAGCTGAGCACAGTTTTGTAAAACTTTCAGCTTGATATGTCCCATTGTGAGAAGAGGAAAATGTTGGAGAGGAGCTGTATATGCCATCTTGAACTCTTGGGACTGAGGAAGGAGACGCTAATCTTGAAAAAAAGTCATCTTGACTGCAATTCCCAGAATCCCCTAGCCACTCGTGGCTTATGATGAACCCAGAATTGGTGGCTGATGTTGCAAAATGGTGGTGCAAAACCTACCATTGCTGAAGCAATATACCTCTGGTGTAGCGGTTTTAACCATGGGACTCTGGCGACCAGAGTTTGAATCCTGGCTTAGCCATGTAAACCAGGGTGCCCTGGGCAAGTCACACTCTCTCAACCTCTGAGGATGGCAATGCCAAACCCCCTCTGAACAAAACGTGCCAAGAAATCCCCATGATAGGATCGCTTTAGGATCGCCATAAGTCAGAAATGACTTGACTGCACATAACAACAACAAATACCTTTACATCAAAGCTTAGATATTTTGTTTAAATTACAGCACTGAGAATGTACATATCATCATGGCCATTGCAGCATTTCTAAGCTCTGGGGCACCATTTAAATACATAATACATAATAATAGTAGCAGTACTTGCAACAGCAGCACCTTGGAACAGGGTTATGTCATATTCCATATTCATGAAAAAGTAAGACGATAACATGAACATATCGAGCTAACCGTTATTCTTCAGTGACAGAATCCATACAAAAATTTAGGTAGATATAGAGAGGGACTATATTTCACCATGATCATGTCATGAATATTTATCCGATGGAGTAATCTGACGTAGCAAATTTCGTTTTTTCAATAACATATCATAAAACTGCTCACACTCTGTGACACAATTTTGGGTTTGTTTGCTTTTTGACAGCCACAATTTCAAGTGGGGATCTTTAAACCATTTTCGCAACAAAAACAGGACAAAATTGATATTTATATTAAAACGACGGGCAGTCTGGAAATATGGGGGGGAAAAGCACTGTCCAGTTTAAAACAATACATACGGTCAGCCTAGCAATAACTCATGGTGTCACACAGACCCCCAATTGACCTCCTCCTATACCACCCCATACATAATCCTTTGTAATGTTTTTGTACAAAGATTACTTGTAAATTGTCATCCCCATACATTACTGAATATACACTGGTAATAGTTGTGTTCTCAGCAAAATTAAAAGTATATCCTTAAATTACAATATCATATGCACAACTGAAATGCGTGTATATGTACATTGTTTCACGCATTTAAGTGAAACATTGGTAAGGTTGAATGTTTTTAAAGAAAAATTTAAGCTAGTAATAAAAATAATTTAATTTTTTTTTAAAAAAATTAAAAAAGGGGGGCTCTCTTTTCTCTTCCACGTCTTTGCTTTTATTGCAGTTTTATATGCTGTCCCTTGTTTTAAGAGGGCCACTGGGGTCAAAATCCATCCATCTATCTATCCATCTACAGGTTGAGAGAGTGTCACTTGCCCAAGGTCACCCAGTGGGTGTATATGGCCGAGAGGTGATTTGAACCCTGGTCTCCTGGACCAACATTCAAATCACTGCAGCACACCTAGTTTAAGGCCCGGGAATATGAGGTACATTTGTTAAAAAAAGCAACCAAAAATTGTAATTAATACACAGAAGTTGGTAATGCTCTAGAAGAAGGCTGCTAAAGTGAAAATTAGAAGAGGCTTCTGTTTCTTCAATGGTTGTATAGAAGTGGGAATTTCAGGACGTATTGCTTGTCACACAACCAAGTGACAAGCAACACTTGTTGAAATTTCCTCTTCTACACAATCACTAGAGCCAGGGTGGTGCAGTGGTTTCAATGTTGGACTATGACTCTGGAGACCAGGGTTCAATTCCCAGCTCGGCCATGGAAATCTATTGGGTGACCTTGGGCAAGTCACACTCTCTCAGCCTCAGGGGAAGGCAATGGCAAACTTCCTCTGAACAAATCTTGCCAAGAAAACCCCATGATAGGTTTGCCTTAAGGTCACCATAAGTCAGAAACGACTTGAAGGCACACAACAATAACAACAAACACAACCACTAAAGCAGGGGTAGGCAACCTTTTTGAGCCGGGGGCCGGGTTGCTGTCCCTCAGACAATTGACGGGCCGAAGCACCAAAAATAAATAAATAAATAAAAATTAAAAAAGAATTAAAAATTTTTTAAAAAATGCATGCACACTCTCTCAGCCCCAGAAAAGCCATGGCAAAACCCCTGTGGAGATTTTGCCAAGAAAACCCCAAGAACAAGTAATAACAACAATAATCAATATCATCATGGGGGGGCGGCGGCGGTGGGGGGGGCGGCGGCGGCAGGACCGGTTTGGGGCCGGTCCAAAGGCCTTGCTGGGCCGCATCCGGCCCCCGGGCCTTAGGTTGCCTACCCCTGCACTAAAGGGACAGGAGTGTGACTATACTGTATGCAACTGAGACAGATTATAAGAGAATAGAAATACTGTACTTGCAGCTAAACTGGTGTAATGCTGGATGGCTGCAGCATTTGTAGCATGTTTGGACATGGACACCACTAAAGAGAAAATCAGGACATTTCAGATTCCAGAGAGTCTCCTTCCTTGGAGGTCTTTAAGCAGATGCTTTGATTGGGAATTCCTGTATGGCAGGGGGTTGGACTGGATGGCCCTTGTGGTCTCTTCCAACTCTATGATTCTATGATTCTAATATTTTTCCCCCTGAGTAGGATCCAAACAGTTGACTTCTCTTCATCCTGGAGAGAAGTGACCAGCTGGCTGCCACAGAGCCCAGTGCTATTTAATATCTTTATCATCAGTGATTTGGATGATGGGTTAGAGGGCACATTTATCACATTTGCAGATCATACCAGTGTGGCATGGTGGTTTGCGTGTTGGACGATGACACTGGAGACCGGAATTTGACTCCTCGCTCGACCATGAAACCCATTGGTTGATTTTGGGCAAGTCACATGCTCTCAGCCTCAAGGGAAGAAGGCCATGGCAAACCTTATTTGAACAAATCTTGCCAAGAAAACCTGATAATAGGATTGTCGTAAGTCAGAAACAACTTGAAGGCACACAACAACAACAGCAGCAGCAGCAGAGTAGAACTATCAAAATCAATTTCAACAAGGAGAAAATACACACTTTGGCAGGAAAAAAATGAATAGACATTCCTGCTGATTTGTGTCTTACTGCATGGCAAAGGAGTTAGATTGGATGGCCCTTGGGGTCTCTATCCAGTTCTATGGTATAGCATGGGGGACATCTGGCTTGGCAACAGTGCATGCGAAAGGGTTCTAGGAGTCCTAGACCACAAGATGAACATGAGCCAACAGTGTGATGCAGCAGCTAAAAATACCAATTCTAGGCTGCATTAATAGAAGTGTAGTGTCTAGAGATTGAGGGAAGTCATAGTGCCACTCTATTCTGCTTTGGTCAGGCCCCACCTTGAATAAAGTGTCCAGTTCTGGGCACCACAATTCAAAAAGGATGTTGAGAAGCTGGAGCATGTCAAAGAGTGCTCAACAAAATGGCTCCTCTTCTTCATCCTGGAGAGAAGTGACCAGTGGGATGCCACAGGGTTCTGTCTTGGGCCCAGTGGTATTCAATGACTTGGATGAAGGAATACAAGGCATGCTTCTCAAATTTGCAGATGACACCAAATTAGGAGGAGTAGCTAATGCCCCAGAGGACAGGATCAAAATTCAAGAAGACCTTAACAAATTAGAAAGCTGTGTTACGATAAGTGGTTTTGATTGGGTTTTGATACCAAGATCCCTTTGGATCTCTATCAGAAGCCCTAGGCTGGAAAGGGCACGTCACGTGGGCACTCCAAGGTGAATCTGCATTTACAAGCCATTTGCAGATCAAAAGGCCAGGCATAGGAGCTGCAATACAGGACATTCACACCTGAAAAGATTTATGAGCCAGTCAGGATGTGTCCTTAAGGTGAGGAAAAGTTAAAAACCTACATCTCATCTCCCCTCTCCTGGAAATTGTCCACTTCAACGAATCCTTTGATGTTCAATAGCAACTCTTCGGCTTCTAGGGTTTAAATACTCCCCAAAATCTCAGGGAAAAAGGGGGGTCTGGATAGATTTCATGATGGTCCTGTACCATCCATGGTCTCTAGCTAGAGTCTCTGGCTCTACCTACTGTTCTTTTCAGTTGAGTCTATTCAGCAATGGAGCAACATCTTTGCAGGTAATTATCACCATTAGAAAGCCTTGTGTTCTTATCCAAGCTAACTACTTAACTCCTCAGTCTTGTGTGTGTGCATGTATGTTAGGGTGTCTTTGTATGCTTGAATCCTCAAATAAAGCATTGTTTCCATATCAGTCTCTTCTCTAGCCACCTCCGTAAACATAGGATAAAAGATCCCATAGAAGACTTGGACTTTAGTAATTCCCCAGGTTCAGAGTCTTCTCATTAGAGGAGGGCGGGACCACCTGGGCCTACAAAAGGCCCCACTGAGCCTTTCCTTCCCCCCTAGCGGCAGCAGGACTTCACATCTGGGCCTGTCTTTGGCCCCAACGCTGCTGCTGGCCTCGCTCTAGCCATTGGATGGCCTTGAGGAATCATTTCCTTTTTATAACTGCTTGGCCCTCCATGCAGCTGCAGCTGAAACTAAAGATTGGAGTCAGCTGGGTACTCATCTTCCCCCCTGCATATTGTAGCTGACCGTAGTCTGGGGGCGGATATTCAGGTGGTGCGGGGGAGGGGGAGGTATGGCGGTAGCAGAGCCAACAGATGTTACAAAAGAAGGAGGGATCGATGTTTGATATCTATCCCTCCTTCAGTTGGCTCTACTTCCCAGGATAAGTTGGAGAGCGCTCCAACCATTCCACTGACCCTCAACCTGCTCCTTTGC